TTACATGGATATCTTTTTACATATTAAATAGAATTCATAGGTCAGACTATACTTGTACATCGATTAACACCTGCTGTCGCTGCCAAATAGTAACAATTGTTAAAGTTTTTATGTGAATCAGACATTGCTATATTGTCTTATGTCCTGATAATTAGAATATTGCTTTTTATGAATATTGCTCCGTTGGCATCTTTTTTAATAGAACAGTTAGGGCAGTTTGTCTTATTATGAAACTGTAAATGAGAAAATTCATAATAAGATACTAAAAGATTAGGATGGTGTCACTGAATTGCCGTTCCTGATATTACAGAGAGATCCCATAATTATATAAATGGAAAACCGGGCATTTTTTATTTTCAGAATAATTGTAACAATCAAATGTGTGACTTCGCCCTCGGATATAACACATATTTGAAATATTACTCAGAAGTACGAACTGTTTATTGTATAAATGGATTTATAAAGATACGTGAACGTAATAACGAATATCTCGATTCGTTTAAGTCATTTGTATTAGGTTTTAATATGTGAATACACATTAACATTTCTTTCCGTTGCATGGAAAAAAATCGTATTGTACTGTCCATTTCTGGTAATGTCTTTTGTACGAAAAGTAACATTTTTTATGTACAAGAAACGTGATTTACTGGAAATCTTTATAACTTTTTATATTTGATTTTTTTAATTTTTTTGATCGACGACGCAATAGCGTTTGTTCTTATTCTTAAGTGAAACATGTAATATTGAAAATATTTTAACAGTTAGTCTTAAACACAGAACACGAGTTTGTCTATAAATAAAACAGAATTATTTCGGTGGTGTAGAAATGAAACGAATGTGTGTACGTTGTTGATATTTATTTACCGAAAATGTTTCGTTCTACCAAGCGCGTGTCGTTATCTAAGATACAGATATATTTTTTCTAATGGCTCATCCTTGGTTATATTGTTATTATTTCAAGAAATCAATCACAAAAGCATGTAGAAGAAAATGACCTACCGTTCCCCCTAAATTGTAAACGAGGACTGGTGTATAAGTCCTACAATGTATTAGAAAACTAGAAATATTACAAAATATTATTCAATAAGAACATTACACAATGATTATAGACTAAACGCCAAAATAAAGTTTCTTTATTTTCTTTTTTGACGACGGTTATTTCATATATTGTACTTTATTATTATATATAGCTTTTACATGTAAAGTACATATTTCATAATTCAAAGCAAAGTGTTCTATTAACTGCTGTAGTTTTATATTCTATAATGTTAATATCACCAAATTTCGAATATCGTGTCAAAATGTTCATTAATAGCTAAACATATCTATTTTAGTTACTTAAGTAAAAGAAAATATATAAGAAAGAGGCCAAATATTTATATGACGAACTAGTAGATTTAATAAATAATTCATCAGTTGGATCTACTGGTGTTTAACCTGATTTACATCAATTGGTAAATTTGTATATAGTTGTACTTAGTGTTACTTGACCATGTTAATCAATTATTACGCTTCTGTTACCACGTAAGTAATCGTGTCTGAAACATAAGAAAAAGTTTCAAAAACATTTGACAGGTAATCAATCAAACCATATGACATCTGACAATACAAAATGCTTCAATGTATACATATGAACACTTTGTCATTAATAGCTACGGCAAAGTAAAGACTATTATAATAATGATTGATTAGAAAAGTGTAGCATATTATTTCGTTATTTTTGTGTTTGAAAAAGAGATTTTATTTTTTAATATGCTCATTTTTTTGTATAAAATAGTGTTTTATTTTGCAGAACTTTTTAAGTCTTGTAAAATCCATGCTGAATATATATAATTTGAATATGAGAATGCATAAACTATGTTAGGAAACCTGAATTCCGTATCACGTACTGCATGGACAAGTCAAGTTAATTTAATTTCATTATTTACTGTCGCTATAAAAGAGTGTGCCTATAGTGTGTACAGATTTGAAAAGAGGTTGTATAGAAATTATCATTATTTTCAAAATTAATATCAAATGTGAGCATAATAAATATTTAAATATAAATTAAAGTCTTGTATGATATCCTAATATGTTCGGTATGTTTTGCTCTAATTTAGAAACGATTTTTAGATAAGGTATATTGAAATAGATGTACATGGCACAAACTGACAAGAAACAAAGTGTAGATCTACATACAAACTTTGTACACCTTTTTTCTTAAAATTTGAACAGACATTCTTTCAAGTCTTAATTATAATGTAGGTGCTATTAAAATAGTAATGGGACAATCTACCATATATGAAATATAAGACCTGGAACAGGATAAAAAAAAGTCCTATTTCAATATATTAACCTTTAACCTGCTAGCGGCAACTTATTCTACCACTCCACTGTGAACATTGAAAGATAGAAGGTTATCTAGAGTATATTTATGCCTGTTGTAAGGGAGACAACTGTATTCAGTCTTGACACATCTGTTCAATGTGAGTTTCCTCCCCTTCAGCAAAATGATAATGTTTTTAATTCGTGACTATTTCAAGCATTTACTGGCAATAATCATAATGTAAAATATTTTATGGCATTTTATGATAAATATACAAGTTTTTTTAACCTTTTAAGTACGCTTAAGTGAAGTTGTCTGATGTAAATATTCATTACTTACATAAATTATCTGATAAATCGGTATCTTACCAAGACTCCAGACACAAATCATTTTCTACCCTTCAAAGGCTAATGCGGTGCTTTGGTAATAAATCTGAAATTATATTGCTGTAGACATATTAATAACCTTTAGGACGGACATGTTAAAGGCAAAACCGTAAAATATTGCTCTTTTTGTTTGTTTTATGTTCCTTTAATTGTGCACCTAGCATAATGAAATTTTATGGTGAACTGACTTTAGAGGAACTTGTGTAAGCAAAACCTACTTCCGGAAGATTGAATATAATTGCATTCTGCTCATTGACATTCTAGAATGGAGCTATATTCGAATATGCAAGTCTAGGCCGTCTTATGCCTAAATTAATAGTAGAGTAAACATATTTTTCAAGTGATAAATATGTGTCGTGAGTATTAATTTCCAGATAAAAGCTTGCATGTATTAAAGCATGTGTAAAAAGTACGTAATCATATGTTCAAGGAATTGAAAGATGCACGCACATAAATGTAAATCAATTAATGCTCATAGCGTATACCCTCAAATTTACCACAGCAATTAAGTCCTTATACACGAATCATTTCTATGTTTCGATGTCCATACATATATATACGCCCAATATCAGCCATGAAGTTTTACTAAATGATTTTATTTGAACAGCCGTAGATGCTGGTCGTCATCTAATTTGGATCATTTCTGTGAAATAATTTCAAACTTAATCTGACGTTGTTTTTGTTGTTTTTTTTTGTTGTTGTTATTGTTGTTGTTGTTGTTGTTGTTGTTTTATGCTTTTGTTGATACATTGTGACCAATGATCATTTTTGTCAAATTACTAAAATTTGAACAACAAATTTTTACAAGCAGTTTATTTTATTATTTCTATTTTCGTGCTATTAACAACTTCTATAGAAAGACACCCACCATCAAAGTATCGTTTCTATAAAAAAATGTTTCTCCTATCCAATAGAAGTTTGGTGACCAAACAAGGCCTATTTTATGGCCAGACAAATTACAAATTACATGTACCCACAAGGAAGTTCAGACCGCTAAATGATTGGCCCATCATTAGTGTAATAAGATTAATGACATACAAAATAAGTCTATTATGGAAATCTAATTCTCTAAAAGGGGAATGTGAACAAACCCTTAACATTACAATCAGATTTATTTCTTGTGAAAGGGGAGGGGGTGAATGGCATCTGCAAATTGTTAGTTATGTAAATGGAGTAAGAATTAACGTCCTGACGTATTACTGTCAGGCTGCAATTATTTCAATATTCTGAACAGATTCGAATTTACCTATAGACACTTAAATTACATAAAAAAAATTGGGTTTTATTATGTACTTATAAATGAAATATTGAGAAATATTGATGAAATAAAAATCTATATTTCATTTTCAGTATTTTCAATGTAAAAATTTATTTTTCACAACATTGAAACATATTTTCCGTATTTCACTGGTATACTCGGCCAATACACAAATTTAAAGAATAGGGTTGGGTGTCTTTTAATTTTCTATGTCTGAAAAGAGAAAAAAATATGTAATATATATATACAGAAAAGCTTTTTTCTATAAATAGTACAGCATTTAGTTTAATCTTGTGGTATGAAAACTATCATATTTAACTTGTGGCTACCGACACTCATGAAATATCTGATTTCATAAAACTAGATGAAAATTAATCCTGTATTTTAATAAAAAGTTTGAATATCCTTTCTGTACTTAATGTTGACATTGTGTTGCTGACATTTCTAAGAATAAGGATAATGCACTAACACATCGCTCGAATTAACTTCATGGGCATTCAAAAATGAATGTTAATAGGACATGTTATTCCAAGTATTACACACGTCATCTTAATTGTGTTTTTTGTTTTTTTTTCAGTGCGTGTAATTTCTAATTTAGGACACATAATTTTATCTAAATACATGTTTACATAGCAAACACATATTGTTTTAGAATTTCGAAACGTTGAAATATGTCTCAGAATTGAACCATGTATTTACCGTCTTTCGTACAGTCTTTACGAGTGTTTATCTTTTCTTGACGTTAGTGTAAATGGTTATGAAAAATGAGTTAAAACAGGCATTGTTTGGACGGATATTTGCAGTACGAATGGCCATTTCGTGATTTAAGATTTTCTTTTTGTCTGAATTATGACTCTTGTTATTGATTGTTTATTAAGAATTTACCTTGTTATCGGCCGGAAAACGGAAACGTTTATTCGGAATTTCTCAAAAGTAAACATAACGCCAAGAATTCATGACTTGTATATACTTTAAATGTGCACCTGTAAAATTCTCCTGTAGAAAAATAGCCCGTACTTCAGATGAGACGATAACCTGTATAGACCATTAGATATGAATTGTTAAGCTAATTTGACTTGAACTTCTTCGCGTTTCGTGCTGACAGGATTTATCTTTAAGTTATTTGTTCACTCATTTAAGTAGTCACACTTCTGATAAAGATTGTTTAAAAAAACGTTTGACGAGCATATGTTCAGGAATAAAAAAAAATCCTATTCGCATGCCGAGACACACCATCTTAGTTTAGATTATTACGTTGACAATCTATGATTAAGAATATCACAACGGATAAGACGTGTACATGTGAATATTACATTGTGATTATTTCAATTTTCGGTTAAAGATTTAAGAAACAAGCATGGCGGTACAACATGATTTCCTTGTGGATTTAAAAAACTCAAGCCTAGCAGACGATAATTTGTTTGAACTATTTCACGCAAACGAGGTGTACACAGACGACTTTAACTTCCTTTTACCAGAAGAAAATGATTTTCTACTTGAAGACATGTCACGAACTATGAAAATTGTTTTATGTGTTCTGTATGGTATACTTTGTATAGGTGCCTTTTTCGGGAATACTTGTATTTTGATAGTGATCATAGCGAAGCGATCTTTGAGAACTGTCACCAACACGTTTATCTTGTCACTTGCTGCAAGTGATATTTTGATTGCCGGATGGAATATGCCGTTACAGCTGATGTTTCATTTAAACAATGAATGGAGGCTTGGAGAGGTGATGTGTAAGCTGACAAGTTTCATACAGGGTGTAGGAATTATCACTAGTATACTTGCTCTGACAGCTATAGCAGTTGAAAGGTATACACCAATAATGACAGAAATATTTAAGTTGGAATAAAGTTTCAATAAAAGTTATGTATTATTTCCAAATATCTTCCTTAATAAATGCAAATGGGAGAAAAAATCAGTATTCAAATTAGGCTAAAGCCATACATGAAAAAATTTTAACGTATTAGATTTAAAACATCATTTATATGAAGACCAATCTTTTATCTGTTAGGTAAGACTTTGCAACCAGTGAATTTTCAAATAAGCCTGAACATTCGTATAGTCTGGCCACGCTCTTTACTGTTTGCAATACATTTCATTTTATATTTTAAAAGCCCTTAAATTGAAATGACTGGTCCAAAAATCAAGTCTAATAAACAAAGGTTAAGCCATGTATACTCAGATTTGTTGAGTTAATGTATCGTCAACATGTATCAAACAATGCAGGTATTTATATAATAAGGTACCGGGCAGCAAAAATATTTTAACTCTTGACAATCATTGATGTCATATCAAATACACTAAATACCCGTATATGATAATAAGATAGACGAAGCCGATTATAAACCGAAAAGGATGTGAAAACCATTTCCTTATAACACGCATAAGTCTTGTTTTGAATTATCGAATTTTAAAAGCTAGCGCAAAATATTGTAAGAAAGGAAAAGTGTCTTAATTAGCTTAAAAAGTGTTCTTATTCATACTAGTCCAAGACATGCATTATATGCCCTTTACTTTAAACAGCTTGTCTATTTAGCTCATTTCCCGATTGTCTGAAAATAACTGTTTATCAAAGAAAGGTCTGTCACTCTAAATTAATATTTCTGTGAGCGGAAATCTTTATTAAGTCTTTTAAGGCAAAGTTTATCCCTTGTCGCTTAGTTTAATTTTAGACAGTATTTATTCCGTTGCACTTTTATAAGTATAAGATTAACGAGATAAAAATGCTAAGTGTGAACAATTAATTTGTTCCTGATCGAATTTTCCAAGTGATAAAGTTTGGCATCTAAGTTTTTCACGGAAAAGATTTATTTGAAAGTTTCTAACAATAATACTTTTACTTTCTAGGGTAAAGGAGTGATGATTAATAAAGCGTGTGGCTTATTTTCTGATCATTTAGTCCAGATTTATGGGTTTTGTATCCTTGTTAAACTGATTTATTGTTTAAAATCGTGAAAAAAAATAACACCAGAAGTTTCTGAAAAATGAAGTACAATAATTTATTGGAGGATTACTCTAAAACGAAATTGCCTGAAAATAGGGTTAATTTGAAGAACAATAAATTTTGTTTGGATTTTCAACTATAGTTATATGGACACCACGGTCTAATCTGATCATGCAAATTGTGCCCATGTAAGATTTGTTTAACTTATATGAGCCGCGTCATGACAAAACCAACGTAATGCGTTTGCGACCAGCATGGATCCAGACCAGCCTGCGCATCTGCGCAGTCTGATCAGGATCCATGCTGTTCACTATAACAAGTAGAGAAACTGATAGCGAACAGCATGGATCCTGATCAGGTTGCGCGGAGGCGTAGGCGCTGGTCGCAAACCAATTATGTTGGTTTTGTCATGACGCGGCTCATATACTGATTATTGCTTGAGCCTATATTAAAGAACGTTCGAAGTTAATTAAAATTTAAGCTTATCTTTCAAAAATTACATTTTACCACATTTAATCCATGCAGACTTATCCGCCCTTCAATTTGAAAAGTTTGCTTTATTTCAGAAGCTTATAATAAACAAAACCTTATTTATTCGGCTTTTCATTTAAATATATTTAAGTTCCGATCAGGAAATTTCAAGAACATGAGAGCTATGATTTTTTTCCTTTTTATCTAACGCTTTGACAGTTTTTTTAAAAACGGCACATTTTAAAGTTACTGTAAACTCTTTTCTTAATCTGAAAACAGACAATAAAATATTTGAATGAAATCCATGAAACTTTGTATTTTCACCAGCAATTAATTAAAAAAAGACGCAAAACAAGTGCAGAAAGTTTGTCCCAACTTACGGTATAAGTGTTTGGTCGTCGAAAAGACCTAAAATGGCAAACGAATCCAAATTAAGGGCAGATGATCGCCATTTTACAGTTCAATTTTTATTCTACCTAAAATATACGTCATAAGAAGATTGTTGAAAAGTAATGCGGGCAAATTTTGTTTCCGGACATTGTGATATAAGGTTAATTACCAGAATAGCCTGAACTATTTATGTTTTAGACGTAAGAAATTCAATATCCTGAGAACTTTTTAAATGTCATTTTCTTAAGTGCTTTGTAATTAAGTTAAAATGTTTTAAGAGCTTTTATTATTGAATCAAAGTGCATTGAAAATCATATTAGTCTCTAGGAATATTAATCTTAAGAAGTAAGAAACCACAAGGCAGCTATTACTATTCCATTTTGTAATGTTTAGCCTACTGCAGTATGGCTAAAAGGCCAATATCTGTAAGCAAATATTTCATTCTTTCATCTATCTTAATATATAAATATGAGGTCATGCTATCCCTTCTGTACGACATTTTACATAATAAAGTCACTGTATTAAAAAGTACATCAAACCATTGGCCATCGTGTGTTTTAATGTGTAATATATTCTGTTATCATAACACAACAGAATCGGTGCAGCACAGGGTATCTAAGCTAGTATTCTTATTAGAGAATATGTTATAGAAATATTTTTTAAAATGTAAACAGGTGTAAAGCAATATCTTTTGAAATATTCTTTTATAAAATTCATCAACTGTAAAACTATGTTGAATTTATTATAACAAACGAGTCGTTACAAAAGGTATCTTTGTTATGTAACATTCCCGGCGCTATTTCGATTGAGAAAGCTTCCGCACACTCTGGGCGACGGCTCCCATGAATGTATTAACCAACTTTCATCAATAAACTAACCTAAAGTAATTTACCACCAAAGTTTCCCATACCATACAAAAACAATAAATAAAAAAAACAATTCAGTATATGTTTTACAATTAAGTATGTAGTGTATATGCATTATTTTGAAAATCATATTCATTGTATTAAAATGTTAAGGGTTTATTTCAGGTATCACGTGATCTGTAATCCGATAAAGGCCCGGTACATAAGAAGCACCAAGTCAGCAGTGCTGATGAGCGTCACACTCTGGGCGACGGCTATTCTTGTCATGCTCCCACATCTATGGATACAGCGTCTACAGGAAAGGTTGTTATGGCAACATGAGAAATATCCACCAATACGCATTGCTCATCTTTGTGTAGAATATTTTCCTAGATTTTCATATAACGTTACCTATTCGTTTGGATTCTTTTTTATTTTTTATATTTTGCCTGTTGTGGTAATGATGTATGCATACGGCAAGATGGCTATCGTTCTTTGGTTACGTAAACCAATCGGAGAACGTCTGACACAATCGCCGACTAACGACAGAAGGGAACAGCAGAAGAGAAGTATCGTCAGGATGCTAATTGTAATTGTCGTCTGCTATATGATATGCTGGCTTCCGTTCTTTGCTGTAAACATTGTAATTCTTTTCTGCAAGTTCACAAAGACTGTACGTGCAATTCAAGCATTTGCGTTATTATTTGGATATTCCAATGCGTTTGTAAATGCACTGATTTACTTTTTCTTGAACGCAAAGTTCAATAAACTCATTAAAGAAAAACTGGGACAATTTTGCCAAAGCAGTTCAAGAATGAGAAAAATCTCAGGAACGCCAATACCTCTACTCTCCAACACAACTTGTGTCTAATTGTTCAATAAACTTTTAGAAATAAAAACGACAAATGGACAGATATAACTTTCAATATGAACTGTAATCAGATTAAACGTGTCATGTGTTTTTATGTGCAATATATTATTTGTTGTAACAAAACTGAATCAGTGCAGCACTGGGTATCTGCTCATCAAGACGTTATCCTTACTTTATCGCATGGCTGTGAGCTTTTCCTTTGTTCTTTCCAACCCATTATACTCAGTACACTTCAATGAGCATTTCAAAACTGTATTGATATATAACAGTACAGTTTTTTCATTGATTCATATAGGAAAAAAAACTCTACTGTTATATATCGGTTTAGTTTTTTTCGCACCTTGTATATATCAATACAGTTTTTTCATAGAGGCTCCAATGGGGCAGTGGTAACGACCATTCCCAGTAGCAAAACAACCCCATAAGATAATAAAAAATGAAATCAATAAAATAAAATAAAATAAATATATAAATACAATGAAAATATAAACAAAGATAATTAATGAAATGAAAAAAGCCCTTTAATCTTAAATCAATCTTGGTAACAGTATACAATCCGCCTCTTATATTGGATGTCTTTTGTATATTTATTTTGCGGCAGCGAAAACAACTTGAAAAACTGCCTTATGATAAATAACTGTAATGTAGCTAACGATTAATTTATTTATTTGTTTCTATACAAAAAAGAAAACATTATGCCATTGCGATAAAACAGTTATAGTATATGAAACTCGTTAGTTAGGGGGGTATAACACTGGCTGGGGCGACATCTCGGGATGTTTCTGCAAAAAAATGTCTCGGCCTAACGGCCTCGCCATTTTTTAGCAGAAACACCCCTTGATGTCGCCCCAGCCAGTGTTATACCCTCGTAACTAACTCGTTTCACATACTATAACTATTACACAGCATAGGTCATAAAAGTCTTACCATGTAAGGGCATAAAGTTTTATCTAATGTGATGTTGATGTTGTTGGGTTTTTTTGTGTGTTGCTGTTTTTTTTTGTTTTTTTTTTTTTGGGGGGGGGGGGAGGGTGTTGTTGGAAATGACCCGTTGGCATCAGAATAAAACATTATGCTGCTAATTTAAGTAATTTGTAAGTGATCTAATTTTGTCAAAAATTGGTTCATTTTTTTTTTACAATTTTATCATCAGGAATTAAAATTGTCATCAAAAAATTGTAAAAAAAAAATGTAAACCATATGATTATATTGTAATTCACTTTGTATAATCTGCAGGTCGGATTTCATGTGCTGTATTGTTAAATATAATGAATTAAAAGTCTGAAAATGCAAGGTCTTTCTCGTCAATTTATGTTTCCTTTCAAAACATTTTAGTTCTGGATTTTTATATAATATAATCTGCTATTTATTTACGATAGGTTTTCGTCCTAGATAAAAATAACGTTTGTCACAACGATACTTTGTCGCAGATTTCTATAATGATATTTAGACAGAAAAAAGTACATAGCACTAAGGGCCATCTAGCATTAAAGTTACCAATTCATAATTAAATTAGGAGGTGTGTTTATAAGCTAATAGCTTCCTACACAATCGAACTAAAATAAATTCTGTATAAACCAAATTAGGATGTCACTTTAGTGACATGAGGTCCGGCGAAGAATAGGGAAAGGTTTTGTACTCAACCTGGATTCGGAGAATATGGAGAGCTATTGTACTCACCGAGGCGTCGTGTCGCCGTTACCCTTTGTTTTGTTGTTGATTTTTGTTGTTGTTGTTTTTGTTTTTTTTTTGTTTTATTGTTTTGTTTTTTCGTCCAAGTTGGTATCTCCAAAACTACTGAAGGGAATTGTTTGAAACTCCACACACTTGTTTCCTGCTATTATCTCACATGATGGACACAGGTCCCATAACTCTTAGTTAACTATTTACAGAGCTTTGACCTTTTTAGTGGGGCGGGAAATTGAGAAAATAGTGCAAATGGTGATACAAGCATGAAACTTTCAGGAAATCATCTTTAGACCACATAGACTTCAAAAGTGAAGTGGGCTTAAAAATATCTCTGCTCATTCAAGATGGCAGCCATTTTTAAAATGGCCGCCATATAAATTTGACGTACATAAATAACTCATTCAGTCAAAATGTTTGTAAAGACCTGAAACTTACACAATATCATGTATAAAGTGTCTCCTATACAAAAATTTAAATCTTACAAAATTCCGCATTCATACCTCTTCTCAATCCAAGATGGCGTCCAATATGGCCGCCGATTTTATGCTTCAGATTCAGATTTTTGTGACCATCACGTGACCATAATGGCGGCCAGATGTGTTATTTGAATTCTCAGTGCAAATAAATTATAAAATGGAATATAAACACATATAAATATAACATATAGCAACAGAATTGACAGAAAATGACAAAATGGCAACAAATTGCTAAGTGTCTAGTGTTTTTACTTTCTCAGGAGTAAAGATAGTGTATTAAAACATTTTTTCGTAAAGTCAAGGACAACAATGGACGGATAGAAATAATGGTATATTGTTTTACTACAGTTTTACTACAGTATCGATAGCGCTATATGAATGATATAACGATTGATTATTTAAAATATCTTAGAAAATCTTCAATATTCAATATATAATAAAATTCAAAACACAAAATACTAATATGCCATCCAGGGGTAAAAACAAAGTACAATCACAAGCCAAAGAAGACAGACAAGGAAATTTGAATGACATGCAAAAGGGAACTTCACAAAGCCTTCTAAGCCCTCTAAGAAACACAGAGACAACAGCATCACAAAATATTTCAAATGAATGTGGAACTAAAACAATAAATACAGCGGATATGTTGGGACAATCTCGGGAAGTTTTATATGGTGAAAGGACATATTCTCAAAACCAATTCGATGCACAACAATCGTTGCAAAACATAAACACACCCTGGTCAGGCCAAAAAGTGGGACAAATATTTACACCCCAAGCAAAGCAATTACAACATAACGGTCAATTAAATCAAAATATGCAAGCGTACAGTGTTACAGGTGCGGAGAATAATGTCCCACCTTGGGCAATAAATTTGTGCCAACAAGTAAATAATATTCAACTAATGCTTGACAATCATACAAGAGCTTGGCAAGTTGTAGAAAATACAATGTCAGCTCAGAATGAAAAGCTAATGAGGATGGAAAGTCTGCTATCAGAGGTAACAAATATAAAAAAAGACATAGTTAAAACAAATACAAAAGTGCATGACATCGAAAACAATATGAAATTTTTACAAACAAAAATTACAGATTATGATGAAACTGTACAGCATTACAGTGACTTGTGTGATGATATAACGATGAACAATAGGGATACTGACGCAAAAGTGAGACAACTCGAAACTGAAATAGACAAACTAAAACAAAATCAAGAAAACATACAAATGCAAATTAAACACACAGATGATAGTATCATCGATGTGAAATGGCGAAGTATGCGTGAAAATTTACTTCTCTATGGTCACCCTGAATCTCCATACTCCCAAAATGAGAAAGAGCGTGAAAATTGTGAAATGATAATCCAAAACTTCATAAAAAATGAAATGGGTATAAATAAAGAAATGCAAATAGATAGAGCCCACCGTTTGGGTAGGTTCAATAAAAGAAATGTACGACCCAGGCCTATCGTCGTAAAGTTTACATTTTACAAAGATAGGGAACTTGTCAGAGTTGCTGCACCAAGCACATTAACCGGCACCAAATACGGAATATCCGAACAATTTCCTGTTGAAATAGAAAGTAAACGAAAAGTTCTATATGAAGTTGCCAAAAAAGCTCGTCAAAAAAAAACAAAATAAAGTTAGACTAGTTCGGGATAAACTTTACATCAACGACGCATTGTATAACACAGATAACATGCAACAGGAGCCGAAAAAGTACCAGAATGACAATGGCGCAAGGCCTAAAACATACAGAAACTCAAATTTCAGAAATACACTTAACACAGACACAGTACAAAACAGATCACAAAAGAAAAGCAACGATGTAAATCCACACATTATAGACCATAACAAACCATTTGTCATCCCGCTGAAAAACAAATTTGAAGAGCTAGCGTTTGCAACACCATTGAGAGAGATGTCTTCTCGTACTTCGTATGCAGGGAAAAAGAAGGCAACTTCTCCACTTGAACAAGACTCGAACTTTAAAAAACAAAATACTTTTAACAGTGAATATGAATATGAGTCTCTGTCTGACTCTCAGCTTACACAGGAGCCAAGTGTTTCGCAACATTCACCGTCAATATTAAACAATGACATGACAAATACGTTACTAACAAATCCAACAAGTATGACGCTACAGCAATATCCAAAAGTCACACTGCCTACGCCCCCGCATACCAATGCTGGATACAGTAATACGGATCAAGAACCCCGTTTTTCACGTGAAAACACGGGTGATTATTGCCAGACTAACCATGACACAGATTAGCGTGAACCGGAAAACGGCTACTTAATTACGGACAGTATTGAATGCACAAATTGTAACGGTGTTGATACACAAAAATCTTTAAAACTGTTATCTTTGAATGTTTGTGGATTAGTCACAAAACTTAAATGCCCTGAATTTCTCACTTTTATCAATAATTATGATATTATAGGTCTACAGGAAACTAAAACAGATGATACTGATGTAATTACTGTTCCTGGATTTTTAGTTCATATGTTTAATAGAAAAAAGCTTTCAAATTATCGATCAGGTGGAATGGCATTATTAATTAAAACACATTTAGCACCATATGTTAATGTTGAGAGTAATAACGAATGTAATCTGATTAAATTTTTCACAATTTCAAATGAAATATACGGTTCAAATTGTAGTCCTCATGTAGAAGATCTTAAATGCGGAATTGTATATATACCGCCAGTTAGTTCGAAATATTCTCACAGTGAACCTTTTTTTGATATACAAAATGAAATCTTTAGATATTTTATAAACAGTAAACATTTTTTGTTGTTTGGTGATTATAATGCACGATGCGGTAGTTTAAAAGATTTTACGCCTGCTGACTTATTTATTTCTAACATGTACGATTTACAATATGTTGAAAGCGAAGAAAATGAAATAATGAAAAATGTTGAGCTATTTGATTTACCTGTAAATAGAATATGTATAGATAATACTGTAAATCATTATGGCAATCAGTTGATTGAACTATGT